AGAGAGAGAGAGAGAGAGAGAGAGAGAGAAAGAAAGAAAGAAAGAAAGAAAGAAAGAAAGAAAGAAAGAAAGAAAGAAAGAAAAAGAAATTACATAGATAAGTTAGGACATTTAAGGAGCATATAAGTCACAATGTGATACCAAATACCATGCTAAAAGATTCACTAAATATCTCAAAATATCTTAAAAATAAATTATCTTGCTGACGTAAGTAAAAATTTTAAATCTATGTTCCAATTTTGCTGTAGTAAAAAACAAAACAGGGTACTCTCTTCAGCCCCTTAAAGTGAATTTGATGTTTGCCATATGCCCTGTATTTTAAATTAAAATTCTAAAATCTACTCTCCAAATGAAGTGAAAATCCCTCGATGCAATAATAAAAATGCATGCAGAAAGTGCTATTTATATCACTTTGGAGGAAAAGACATTACTCCATTACATACATAAGAATATCTTATTAACAAGAATGCAAAAATCACATTTTTAAAAATTGTATATAAAACCTGAATTTAAACACCTACATGTTATAACCATTATTTGCACCATGTTCCTTCTTTCTTTTCTATGCTAGACTAAAACACTCAAATATAAAATTCCCACACCAACCCCACAGTGTTAGTTAGAGAAAGTTCAATAATTGTAGAGTGGATTTTCAGCAAGTATTTGAAAGAGTAAGTCAATTTCAGTAGTGTTGTAAAGACTCCATTTTTCTGTGAGCTGGGAGTTCCTTAAAAATCTCAGTATACCACTCCAAAGCTGCCTAGGTTCCTGCAAAAGTTCTGTGTATATTTGGGTCATACTTTATCAACTCTGGTACTTGTTCATGCCACTGACTAAATAAATGTGAGTGACAGTGGAAAATTTTCCCAGAGAAAAATTGCTAGCTTCATAAATACTGTCAAGGTTAATAACTGAAAAAATCATGCTAAGTATGTGGGAACTTGGAAGATGACCGAGCCCTAGTCCCTTAGAGTAAGCCACAACAGCAGTCGGCTGCTCAGTGGGCAACTTGGTTATGAGGTGCTGGTGATTTAATGTATTGGCCAAAACTAGTTAGAAGGTCATGTGTAAGATTTCATTTCTCCTGTGTTTTACTGGCATACCCTAGACTCAGTAGAATGCCCAAGTTCTTGTGCTTGGCATTCAAGACCCTCAGGAGAATACAGTGGTCAGTGTGCTATAATGCTGTCTACATTTTTTCAGTGGTTTTATATGATTCTAGCAAGCTTTTCTAAAACACTGCAGTGGTGACCTGTCTCTTCTTTACAGGTTGCAAAATGCTCAGACTGCTAACCTGAATTTTTAAAAACAATCTTTTAGCTGTATTGGCTAATGCTATTTTATTCTTATGAGAATTAATAATGCGGAGTAAAAGGATTTTACTTGGATGACAGCCATGCGGTGATGCACTCTGGGAAATAACGTGTGGCTGATGAAAGGATGGAGTTGTGGGCAGCAAGGTCCTTCATGAGCACAACTGTCTGAGTTCTTCCGCACAGTTGCTTGTTTCTCGATATCTGTTTGCTCTTCATTGTTGAGCACTCTGTAATGGGCATATTAGTTTATGGGACACTTCTTAAGTGTAGAAAGTATAGATATTTCCTAAGTGTAAATGTATATAAATTCAAAGTAAACTGTTCTTTTATGTACCTAGTAAACATTCCCAATTCACTAAATCTCTAAAAAGGAAATGTGAAGCAAGCTTATATTTGCATGAAACTGGAAAGTTACTAATTTCACTTCACTTTCTCCTCCATCCCCCAGTCATCTAATATAACCATTTAACTTGACCAAGAAAAATAGAAGTCACTGACATTCAAACCCCCATCTATGTAATGTTTGCAACTTGTATGCCATCAAGATAGAATACAAAGGATTCAATAGTGAATGGCAGCAGATGCTCTTTGATCTCAGGGGGATTAGGGTGGATCAGAAGAGGCAGAAAATTAGACAATCAAAATAATATGTGGTAAGGATGATGACATAATCCTGCAGTTGCCTCATGAATTCTAGATTCTAAATAAGGCTTTGTGTCTACATGCCAATGAGCATATGCGATCCAGATGAATTATGGGAAAATCCACTTCTTACTTAAATGTTTCAGTTTTCAGCCAAATGTTACTCCTAAGTATCTGTTCCAGTAACTTCATGCAGATTTTATTTCCCTGGGGATCCAATCTCTGAATGAGAAGGCACTTAGAATGAATTCATCTACAATTAAGGGGCAAGAAATGTCAAGTGCTAACACAATTGTCAGGGAGAAATAGAAGTCAAAAAATCACCCATTATTTGCTTTCTTTAATTTATTTTCTGATCACTTCCTCTGTTTTCTCCCTTAGGGCATCTCCTTGGCCTATCTCATGATGATTCCAAATTCTGTGAAGAGAATTTTGGTTCAATGGAGGATAAACGCTTAATGTCTTCCATCCTAACCAGCATTGATGCTTCCAAACCCTGGTCGAAATGCACTTCAGCCACTATGACTGAATTTTTGGATGATGGCCATGGTATGTGTCACTACGGACAACTTGGGCTCTGAAAAGCAATTGGGGATTCAACTTAATTTCTCACCCTTTCTATAGTGCTCAAGTTGCCCCCCAAACAATGGTTTAGACAGCGTAAGGAAGGGAGCATAGAAATCAACTGTTGACACATAATGCTAGCATCCCTGGTGGCATTACAACCATGGTATGTTTTGAATGGAAAGATTCAAAACAGAACAGAATGTGGGAGACCACACAGAGTGCCTAGTTGGTATCCTGAAACCTGGCTTTTATTCCGTCACTCACCACTGGCTTCCTGTGAAAACTTTGGCAGACATCTTTGTTTGCCTGCTATTAATATAACACTGAGAATTATTTGAATTATTTGTCACCCATTACAGGGTGTGGCTAAGGTGTTGCTGACAATTCCACCGGATTCTCTGCATGCTAACATAAATCCAGGAAAGGAAGCTCTCTAGGTTTTCACTGACTGGAAGAATTTGATTTCAATCTGACTGCAGATTCTCCTAAAAGAAATGCGAACTGCAGACAAGAAGAGAAATGCAGCCTCTGATGGAAAAACACTTCAAAATGTCAAAGAAAGCACTCAGATTTATCCTTTAGAGACAGTTAAAGAACATGGCTTTCTTCATTAAATTCCATAAAGCTAGGATTAGCGCTGCAAGTTACATAAAAATATACAAGCAGTCACAAATTTTAGAAATAGTAAATCCTGGCCCCTAAGTAGACCTTTAAATAAACTGTTGCACATTTCATAGCATCCTTTATTACTTTAAAATAATATGAACCCAGAAGAGAGATAAGGTAAGAGGTGAAGATGGTCTTCAGGTACCACGTGGTTCAAGTTTCTCATCTTACAGAAAGTGACACTCAAAAAACAATTCTGATTATAGGGTTGTTTTTTTTTTTTATAACATTTGCTTATATGTGTGGTTCAAAGGCAGACAGTCTGTGACACTTAGCTTTCTTAGTTCCACAATGTTTATGACTTAATATTTTCATGTCTTAGTGTATTTAACATGTTAAACTTTGTGTAAACTTTGTCTTCACAGAAATGATAAATTCATGTTAGACAAAAATGAGTTCAGCTGCAAAGTTCTTTAATATCATGCCCAAATGGTATTCACTAATCCATTTTTGTTACATTAGAGACGAATTAGTATGGTCTTCCTGCTCTTAATAGAGACATTTTCTATTCCTAAAAGTTATCTAGGACCAATTTGATTTAAGTATGAAGACGAAATTATAAGAAATAAAGCCATGCTGTTAAGTTGAGCTGTGGGGGACTCAGGTCAATAATTTCTGACATTGCCAGTTAAACAGAACACCCAATGCTATTATGGGGTACTGGACTCTTTTAGAATATTTTGCTGAGTTTACACACCTATAATATTCAATAACGGAACTTAGAAAAAATGGGGTATACCGATGAATGTCCATTTTGTATCTGTGTATTCAAAGTGGTTGGGATAGATATATAGTTGCATTCTCTTATTGAATAGAATGATTTGTTCTAATGGTGTTTGTGGATAGGATCACAAGTCCGCATCTGTACAGCAATTAACCACTAAGAAGAATATATGCAGTGTATTATTTGTTGAAAAATAAAAAAAAAATAAATAAAATAAAATTACTGCCAATTACAGCACCTGCATGCAGGTGCAGAGGCCGGCGCTTCAATGCCCTTGCCATGCCTACCCTGCTCGCAGGGCGCACCGAGACAGCAACTGAGTCTGGGTGTGGTGCCTAGTGCCTGTATTCCCAGCTCTTGGGAGACTGTAAGCAGAAAGAATACTGTGAGTCTGATCTAGTAGTGAGACCCTGAACACCCGGTAGACCCTTCCTTAAAAAATACAAAAAAAATTAAAATAAAATAAATATTTTATTTTAAAATATTTTTTTCTTATTTGAAAAAAAAAAAAAACTTCCAAGTATCTTAAAGACTTAGAACTTATACTAGGAATCAATGTAATATGTCTTTCTTTTAACTTATGAAAAATTTTAATTTTATGTTTAGTTCAGAGTATAATTCTGGTAAGTCTTTAAACAAATGTTTATTTTATCTGTTAGCTTGCAGATATTGATCAAATCAAAATATAATGAAGTGTTTCTTTAGTGGAATCTTAACTGTCCACTCCTAAAATTCATTTTACTTTTACATGTTTTTCAAGTTTTGTGAACATAAAATAACATTATAATACTAATATTTTATTTCAAAATTACACATTACACATTCCAAAGGGTTGAGCTGAATCTTGAATCATTAAATGAGTGGATTTAGTTGCTAAGGTAGCAAATACTTATGGTTAGAATGAAATCACACTTTTTTCCCCTGTACAAGTATTAGGTCAACTACGTACAATGCTGTGCAAAATTTCGTTCCTTATTGCCATAATTTTGAAGTGATTCAATTATCTCATGTGTGTGGAATTTATGACTTTATTTTCTATGCATCAAATATACTTTCGGTGCTATATCCATTTCATACCATTATTAATCTATTTAAAGAAGTTCGTACTCTGATTTTAAAGACAAATTCACAACAAATATATGTATTTTCTAAACAGATCTCTATTTTTATTCCAAAGGCCTCATGACAGGGAGCAACTGAGCACATCCTTTGAATGTGAATGGGTCTGAATGGGTTATTTGCACTGATAAAAATTATCCAAATTTCATATATCAAATTCAGTTACCAGAATTATTTAGGCAGAAAATGTTCAGTTTATCTGATTAATCTCTTTAATCAAACTGAAAATCTGTCACTTTTAAATAAGTTTTTTTTTTTTTTTTTTTGGAGAGACCTTTGTTTTACACTAAGAAGAATGCCTATTTTATAAGTTACTCATGAAATGCTTTATTTCAAAAGAGAGGAAAAAAAAAAAAAAAAAAAAAAAAACCTAGAAAAGGTGACCTGAAACACTAGCAAAGCTCAATTGTGTTTCTTTTCAAATAACAAAGGACAGATGCATAACTGAATCTGGCACTTTTCTGTAGCACTGCTGCTTAATTGTGAACTTAAGGGGATTAATATTTTTTTTAAATGAGAAAGAAAAACTAAGTCAGTGTAAGTGAAAAGGTGGGTGTAGAACTAACAAACCCAATTTTGGGAGGTCTGAGGTTCTGATACTTTAGCAAACAGCCCCAGATAATGGAAAATCAGGCAAGTTCACATTTTGTCCAGGAATGACAGACTTAATGAAACCATCTCATAAAATCTTGTCGCACAGAAAACTATTCAGGCTGCCACTTAGACCCTCTTTATTCCTATTTTATAGCTCTATACTCTTATTTCTGTTTCAATTTCCTAAGTAATACAATCATCATAGGAGTCAGTAAGGGATTCAGACCGATAAACTGATTCAGGAAATGATATTGCTTGACAATGAGAGAGAAGCCTCAAAAGTTGTTAAACACAGCCCTAAAACATAAAAAACTACAGTAGTCTGGTACTGTTTTCCAAAATTCAAAACCCTTATCATACTACTGTTAGCCCTAAAGATATTTGCATAATTCAGTATGGTACAATAATTTATATTTAGAAAAAAATGATTTTCAGCTGGGCATGGTTGCTTGTGGCTGTAACACCAGCACTAAGGGGAATGCTGAGGCAGGAGCACCGCTGCGAGTCCCAGGCCAGCCTGGGCCACTGAGTGAGCTCAAGGCCAGCCTGAAGTGCACTGTGAAACCCTGTCTCAAAAAGATAAATAAATAAATAAATAAATAAATAAATAACATCAGCTATTTAGGTAAACAAGGTTAAATGCTGACACTATCATAAGGCAGCAAAGCCATTGCTGTATTTAAGAGTGGATGCTCACAAAATTTATGTAACATTTTGGTGATACCTAAGCAGTGCTTTATCTGGAAAATCCATTTAAGCCCCACACCACCACCCCCCAGCAGCCCTGGAAAGATGAGATTCTAAAGTAAAATTACATTCAAAGCTTTTGATTCATTTTTAAAATTATTAACCTTAAGTAGCAGGACATTTGTCGCACTTGACTACTGCCAGATTTAAATTCATTAGTATTGAGTGTTTCCTGATATAGATCCAGCAAGAAATATGCAGCAATTAGATCACCACTGAGAAGCCAACAGTGTGTGCACTCAAACGGAGCTGTATTGGAGATTTGTAATTCAGAAAAGTGGTGTCCATGGGTCACAGGACCCCTCCCTCCTGACTGAGGTTCTTGTAGAAATTCTACAGCATCTGTAATGTAAGCAAGTTAGCTGGGAGTGTGATTTTTCTAAAAGGAAGGTAGGAGCTGGCAGAGAAATTATGAAGTGAAAGCAGGTTATTGAATTTTCTCCTTTTTTTCCTTCTATTTTAGGGAAGGGTCTCCAGGGTTTTGAGGGTCTCACTACTAGACAGGACTCGTAGTGATTCACCTGTTTACAGCCTCCCAAGAGCTGGGATTACAGGCAAGCACTGCCACGCCTAGTCTCAATTGCCATCTCTGAGAAGCCCAGGGGCTGGGCTGACACAGCAGGCCCCGGGGATTGAACCCCCAGAAACTGTGCCTGCTTGCAGGGCTATGTGGCCAGCCCTTGCTGTGATTATATAGTGGTTTGTATTCTGCGTTGTGAATTTCCTTTCTTAAGTGCTTTATAACCTGGAGGCTAAAAAACATAGCTGTGTGTGTCACATCCTCAATCCATGGTACCCAGCACAACTATTCAACTCAAGGACACCCTCAACACAGATTGCTAAGGAAAACCCATAGGCAACTTCGAGAAATTAACCGGTAGTTGATGTAAAGGGCTAAGTTACAGCCACTCACTAAACAGAACTTTGGATAGAAAATGGTATTAGAAAGTCAGTCCTCCAAACCTGTCCTTAATTGTCCATCACACAGCTAACAATCAGAGCTTAACATACCATTCTTAAAATTCAGGCCTAGTTATTATGTGTGTGTCTTGCTTTCTACCATAAGCACATACTTCAAAAGGAAACAAATAAAGTATCCTGTTTTGAAGGCCATAGTGACCTGCAGCTTTTC